GTGTTGGTGTGTGTGTGTGTGTGTGTGTGTGTGTGGTTGGGTGGGTGTGTGTGGATCTGTATCTGTATCTCTGTGTGTGTTATTTCTCTGTGTTTCTCTCTCTCTCTGTTGTCTCCCTCCCGCTCTCTTATTGTTTGATACAGAGTATCAACATGTAGCCCAAGCTGGCCTTGAATTCCTTCTGTATCCCAGACTGACCCTGAGCTCATGACAATCCTCCTGTCTCAGCCTCCTGAATGCTGAGATGAAGGGAATGAATCACCATACCTGTCTTATGCCTATTTCCATCTTTGCTACAAAAAACTACTTGCTTTTCTCATATGATTTCTTTGTCTAGAGGCTTTGTTGGTTAGAATGAAGATCAGCTGGCTCTGCAAGTATGGAAAGCATACAAAGAGAGAGGGCAGCATGCCCAGTGTCTGCAAACACTGCCCAAGAGATAACAGAAGAAACTGCAGGAAGCTTTAAGCACATTTCTCTTTGATTCTCATGTCAAGGTGTAAAATGTCACTTCTCTCAGAATTTCACACGAGAGTTTACACAACTTAGTTGGGAGAATATTATGGACCCCCAAAAAAAAACTGGTCTTGTACCTACAAGTGTGAGACAGAAATATTTAGAATTTTAAAGTTGCAGTCGCCATGACCTCTGGGCCACATCCACGTCATGGGAAATGCCTAGCAATTAGCATGTTTATCCTTTGAGTCAATAAGACTCCTTTTCCTCTAGTTGTGTCTTATAACCTTCCTGCAAGCCTTGAAGGTTCCCTCTTGTCAGTGGTTGGGGGCTCTAGTCAGGCAACCACCCCAGAATGATCCCACACTGTACCCTACAACAAAAGATATGAATCACCCTGAGAATAGCTATGCTAGAAGCAGGTTGCAGGGAAAGCCAATGTTTCACGGGGTGCGGAATAGGGGACCTATTTTATAGTACATCTCACTTTATGTTTCTGCTACCATTAGCACAGCAGGATATTTGGGGGCTTTGGAACTTAAAGGCCTTGGTTTCTCACGAAGGCTTGCTTTGATATTAGGTCACCAGTATGAATCCTCTTTGGAAAGAGTACCCTTCTGCTATTAGAGCTTCGGGCATGGCCTGGTTCTGTGCAGTACCAGCCCTCACCAAGATAGGGTACATGTTGCCCCCTGGACCACAGAGACAGGTGAAAAAAGTATTTATTGGTCCTTTTTTAAATTTTTAATTATATTTTTCAGAAAGGGTCTCACACTAGCTCAGATGAGTCAGGATGGATGGAGACCTCAAATTCATGACAATCAGACTGCCTCAGCCTCCTACGTGCTGAGATCACAGGTATGATGGACAATTCCACTCCCAGGTGTAGACTCAAGAAAAATGAACACATAGAGTACATACGGGTGTCCATAGCTGCATTGTTCACAGTAGCTAAGAAAAGGAAACTGACCCAATGCCCATCACCTGATGAATGGGCAAACAGAGGTGGTCTATACATAAAAAGGAATATAATTGATTAATAAAAATGGAACAAAGTAATGATACAAGCTACCAAATGGATGAACCTTGACAACAGTTGCTGTGTGAAAGAAGCCAGGTAAAGGAGTGTGAGCAAGGAGTGTGAGATGTTGACCTTGACCACACTTTCTAGGGTAAAGAATGACCTTGAAGGCATCTTCATAGGTAAGACTTTGGTACATAAACTCAGGATCTACCTAGTTCAGGAAAGGTCCCATGGAGATCCTGGCACAGAGTAGGAGTGAGTTATAAAATGAGAAGAGGCATGATGAACTCTGCTTAAGGGCTGGCACTCTGGACTGCCCCTTCTGTTCTGGGAAGGGACTCACTACTGTGATCCTCCTTCTAGCCAGCATGGTGGTGCAGACCTGTTCTTCTTGTTTCTTCGAAGGCTGAGACAGCAGGATTGCAACTTGAAGGCCTGCCTGGGTAACTGAGTGAGACCCTATCTCAAAATGAAAGATTGGAAAGAGGAGTGGGGAAATGACTTAATGGTAGTGCCTGTCTGGAAAGTGGACGTTAGGAAGAGTGAATCGCAGCTTGGAAATTTCCTCCATCAGACTGGTCCATGGGCATATCTGTGGGGCATTTTCTCCACTAATGAATGATTGGTGTGGGAGGGTCCAGACCACTGTGGGTAGTGTCACCCCTGTGTGGATGATTCTGGATTGACTAGGAAAGCACGCTGAGCAAGCCACAAAGAGCAAGCCAATAAGCAGCGCTTATCCATGGCTTGTGCTTCAGTTCCTATACCAGGTTCCTGCCTTGAGTTCTTACTCTAACTTCCCTTTATGATGGTCTGTGACCTGAAAGTATAAGCTGAGTAAACCCTTTCCTCTCCATGTTGCTTTTGTCAGTGTTTTATTATAGGACAAAAAACAAATGATGACACCCCAGTAGCCTTCCTCCAAAAAAAAAAAAAAAAAAAAAAAAAAAAAAAAACCCCCCCCTGTCCTCATAGGAATCAGAGGAGACTGATAAATCTCTCCTTTGCTGGCCTAGGACAAAGTCAGACCCAGAGCCTCCAAATCCTTTTTATGTTTTATTTTTTCCCATTTTTTAAATTTAAATTAGAAACAAGATTGTTTTACCTGCCAATCCCATTCCCTCTCCCTCCCCTTCCCCTGCCCCCCACTAACACCCTACCTATCCCATACCCTTTCTGCTCCCCCAGGAGGGTGAGGCCTTCTATGGGGAATCTTGAGAGTCTGTCATAGCCTTTGGGATAGGGCCTAGGCCCTCCCCCATGTGTCTAGGCTGAGGGAGTATCCCTCTTATGTAGAATAGGCTTTGTGTTTTATTTTTGTCTCATGATTGGTTGGCCTGTTTATACCACTGATACACTGCAGCAATAATGTACCTTTTGATAAAGGTCTGTCCTTTCCCTGGGTCCTGGCACACCCTCCATCTGAGCCACCAGGTCATCCCTTCTTCACAGTCCCTCCTGAGGCTGGGTTGACTTCAGGGGTCCCATCAGCCTGATCCAGATGTTTATGGTTTTCCCACACCCCAAATACCTTCTTGACTTCTCCCTATAGAAGCAAAATCCTCATGGCCTGTCCTTGAGACACACACAGGCCATTAGAACACAGCCGTACTCCCTTCTCCTAATGTCCCTGCCTGATCTGGGCATCCTTGCAATAACCCTGAATAATGGTCTCTCCCATTTAAACAGGTTCCTTTGGATTGTCCACTAAGTTTTTCGTTTACTATTTCTGTAAGTGTGTTTGCATATGTGTATGGTCATGTGTGCCATTGCATACATGTAGAGGTCAGGAGACCACTTTGTAGAGTCAGTTCCCCCTTCTACCTTTACACAAGTTCCTGGGATTGAACTCAGGTTACCAAGCTTACACCACAAGCACCTTTATCCACTGAGCCATCTTGCTGGCCCAACTGGCCAGTGAATTATAAAGTAGATGGGGCTTTGTGTGTAAACCCTGGGGGATGAAATTGTCATACCCTCCACTGCAGAGGTCTGAGCCCAGACCATGAGTGAGGAATGGGCATTCAGGAGGCTGTGAAATAAGGGTCCTGAAGAGGAAGGAGGGGGCCTTTTTATTTTAATTTGTTAAATGAATTACATTTCATTAAAGGCCATTTTCATGTTAGTATATGATGGATGGTCTTTGAGCATAACCCTCCTCTTGCCCTTCTAGAGTCTCATTAATCCCTTTAGTTCCCTAGGTAATTCCACATCTACTTTCAAGTCATCTGTACATACATACATACATACATACATGATCAGAAGCACACATGAGAGAAAGCATGTGATCTCTCTCTCTCTCTCTCTCTCTCTCTCTCTCTCTCTCTCTCTCTATCTTTGTTTCACTACATAACAAAGAGGCCAGAGGTCAATGCCTGGTGTCTTTCTCAATCACTCAATGACTCCCCTGCCTTGTTTGTTTTCTGAGACAGGGTCTCTCACTGAACCTAGAGCTCACCAAGATGGATAGACTAGCTGATGAGTGAGCCCTGAGATCCTTCTGTCTTCGCCTTCTCAGTGCTAACTGCCACACCTAGCTTTTGTATTTGAGTGCCGGGGATCAAACTCAGGTCCTCATACTTGTGCACCAAGCACCTTACTGACTCAGCCATCACCCAAGTCCCAGTATTTGTCTTTCTGAATCTGACTTAATTTGCTCCATATGAGCTTCTCCAGTTGTACCCATTTTCTAGCTAATGAAATTATGTCATTCTTCTTTGCGGCTGAAAAAGCTGCCATTGTTGTATACACCACATCTTCCTTGTCCACTCCTCTGCTATTGGACACCTAGATTGTTTCCATAACTTAACTCCTGTGAATAGTGGAATCTTTGTCATCAGCGTTGAGCATGCCTGACTCGTAATGACGATCAGATCAGCAGACCATGTGCAATAAGTAGCCACCTCAGCAGAGGGCCAGGAAATGCTGAGGTCTTGGTGATATTCTTTGCAATCCTTCTGTCTCTAGTGACTTAGACACCCATCAACTGGGAACAAGCACTGAGTTCTAGCGTCCCATTGGGCAAGAGTTGAGTAAATTCTATACAGCACTTAAATGTAAAATTATGACAAACCATTGCTATAAAGCTAGGTGTGGTGGTGTACAGCTCTAATTCTAGCACTCAGGGGACAAGTTCCAGGTCAGCTAGTGTGACTTAAGAGGACTCCATCTTAAAAAAAAGAAAGAGAGACAGAAAAGGAG